CCAGTTTCCTCGAGATTGAGAAACGGCCTGTGTGTGTGTGTGTGTGTGTGTGTGTGTGTGTGTGTGTGTGTGTGTGTGTGTGTGTGTGTGTGTGTGTGTGTGTGTGTGTGTGTGTGTGTGAGGAGCTCCACAGATTGGTCCATTTGGGTCGTCGTTACGTCACTTAGTACCAGAAAGAAAATGAGAAATCTCCAACGAGGCGTTCTGGGGCAGCATAGACAGGTATTTTCTGTGTTAGAGCTTTACTCACTACAGGGTGTACTTTGAGGGTTTGTGACTCTGCAAACCGTTTACATGCATAAAAACCTTCATAACACACAAGGGGAAGCATGACATGGGCCCTTTAAGCAACAGTGTCACATAAGTTTCCGACATGAGGTCATGACGGCCATGACATGATGCTCATGCAATAGCCTCAACTTAGTTCTTAGCGGGTGTGGCGATTCTAGAGTCTGGGTGCTCTAGGCAAACATTCACTGGGAGCCCCTCGAACCAGCTTTTCATCACCACGCACAGCCGACAGCGCCCCCCCCACATTTTACGGCGCCCGACGCAGTTGCCTGCCTTGCCTGTTCGCAAGGTGCGCCCCTGAGCGGGTAACAATAAATAATAGGAAAGCAATGTTCACGGAGAGCAGGGCTGACTGGTTTGTCCAGTTTTTACTTTCAGGTGTTCTGTTGTGTGCAGGTATTTATAATCTTAAAGAGATATGCACTTCAGTGCAGACACCGGCTGTAAAAGGACGTACGACTCAGAGCTCTCTCTACACACAAATACACAGGTAAGATATTAACTCGATCGGCACTACCATGATAATGCATAAGTAGTAGCTGCTCTATATATTTATATATAGCGCTTTTATTATTTGTAACCTGTCTGTATTCGTGTCATCTTATTTTTCTCTAATGTAGAGTGTGTGCTTTTTTATGGATAGCACTAACTTGCACCAACTTTGCTTTCAGGCAATTTGCCATTAAATATTATTCCACCATTATATCCATAGGTCAGAAAGAAAATACTTTTGATGACCATTATAGATGTGTGTATTCTTCATTAATCTGGTTGGCTGAAAGATGTAACTGTTATTGTCAAAAAAGAAAATACAAGAATGTGAGAATTCAAATGGCAGAGGACTTTTGGACCCTAAATATATTGAAATGAAATACAAAAATATCCCTGTCAGAGAATTTGTAACATTGAAGGCTAATGGGATATGTTCTAATAGGGTCAGCAAAAGGTCAGCAAGGAAGCCCTATAGCACTAAATAAATTCACAGTGATACGTAGACTCACTGTTACATTTGAATCCATCGTTAGGTTCCTTTTTTCCCTCAACAAATCAAAGAGAAACTCTAGAGATGTGGAAATGGTTTCCTTGACAAAAAAAGCATTTTGTTTGGACAATTTAAATTACCTGACTTTTATTTTCTAACAAGTCACTCAAATGATGACACAGCACATTGTCTGTAATTCCCCTCCGGGATGACACATGCTGGTGATATCTGATCTATCGGCAGGCAGTTATGCAGTGTCAGTGTCTACAAAAACCCAATTTAAAATGACTTATTTGTCATGGTTATAACTAACCACTTGGTTATTAATAGGGAAATCCCACGACCATGATACAAGTAAATCACATTTATCAAAAGCACTTTGGTTACATTACATGTATTACATGTTATTTAGCTGAAGCTTTAGTCCAAAGTATTAACAATGTTGACCATCAACCTTGTAATTGGTGAAAAACTTGCTCCATCTCCTGAGTCACAGCAGCCCCATTAGCTTGACATATGCTTGTTAGACCAAATGTGGTAAAGGTGTACAGTATGTGAACCTGTTTTTCGCCATGCCAAAAACACAAAAAAATGTCAATACTTTGTCCTCTGGTTAGTATTATATTTATAACGCTCACATGCTTACAAGCCTTCACCAGAGCAGCACTGGAGTGGTGTCCTTCTACAATATCTTATTGAACAAATTCTATTATATTGTAAAATGATGTAACGTTCTAACTGAAACTATGAAATACGTAAAGTATGTGGTGTGTTTTTTTTGTTTCAATCTTGTAGCAAGGGTATTGCCAGCACCCATTTCTTTGTTGCCTCTTTGCATATGACTGTATTTTGTACAAGCACTAATAACAAACATTTTTGACATGAACTCTAAGTCCTGGTTCCTCCTTTAGAAAGTCATCATGACTTCCAAAATGGTCATCAGCCAGCCTCAGCCTGTGATGGACGCCCGGGACTCTGATGAGTGGGGATCAGGGATCTGTGACTGCGTTCAAAATGTGCCTGAGTGTAAGTATCTGCACTTCTTCTCTTTATGAGAGAAGTTACAAGTATAGTTTACATTTGATTTGTATCTCTTGTGCACAGTCATGCTATGATTATGTGACAAAAGGGCATTGTTTACTTACTCAAAGGGCAATACGTTGTTCATTTTTATTCTGTAGTTTTCAAATACATTAATCTTTCATATTTTGATATTAGCTGCATCATAAAAACACAAAGGATTACAGTACATCTTGTCATTTCCTTACTGATTTAATGTGTCATTTTTTGCAACAAGCCTACCAATCTTATGTGTCGATTTGAACTCAATACTTCAAAAAATAATTATGTTAGATACTCATCCAAGTTTTATGAAATAACAGCAAAGATACAAAGCCAAACCTGAAATATTTTCCTAAGAAAGGAAAGGTAATTGACTTATTCTAATTATTTATTAGTATCTTAAAGGCCATTTCTACTGATCATAATTCCATTGTCGAGGTCTACTAGAATAGATCTACATTGTTCAATGTTTTCCAAAAGCACATTGGTTTCTCATACAGCGTCTCTGTATAGACTCTCGGTCCTACATGCCTTGTTGGAGCTCCTCCCACACACTCACAGCCTGAGCTCCTAGTGTGTGTGTGTGTGTGTGTGTGTGTGTGTGTGTGTGTGTGTGTGTGTGTGTGTGTGTGTGTGTGTGTGTGTGTGTGTGTGTGTGTGTGTGTGTGTGTGTGTGTGTGTGTGCATTACTGTTTCCTGCTGTACAGTCCTAAGTGTGTGTGTGTGTGTGTGTCATGACTGTGCGTGCGTGCGTGCGTGCGTGTGTGTGTGTGTGTGTGTTTGTGTGTGTACGTGTGTGTGTGTGTGTACTGTGTACGTGTGTGTACGGAGCTCCGCGTATTGGACCAATTGGTCCATTTGGACTTTGTTACGTCAATAGGACCCAGAAGGAAACAAATGGAAGGAAACAAATCTCCAACGAGGCGTTCTGGGGCAGCATGGACACGTCGTTTCTGTGTAGTTGTACTTGCTACAGGGTGTACTTTGAGGGTTTGTGACTCTGCAGACCGTTTACATGCAGAAAAAGCTACATAACACACAAGGGGCTGGGTAATAACCAGAAAAGCATATGATGGGACCTTTAAATGATTGTGTGCATATTTGTGTGTGTTTTCTTGTCTCTGGTATCTTACAGGTGTTGGTCATTTTTACAATAGGTGTGTTTATCGGTTGCTTATCTGGTATTTGTTTATTTCTGGTAAAGGTTGTTGTGCTTTCTGGTGCTGTCCCTGCTTCGCCTGCAAAACAACCAAGAAATATGGGCAGTGTCTCTGTCTCCCCCTGTTGGACATGTTTGGTTTTGTCCCTCCCGTCACCATGTCCATGAGGGTCTCCATGAGGCAGCGCTACGGCATCAAAGTAAGACACGATTCTCTTTTGTTGGTGTCAGATGGCAGAAATATTTGAGTTTTATTTGCGATTTCTGTGGATCCACTATCACTTTTTATTTCATTGAGACTTAGGGAGACATGTCAGGTTGCATGATTTGAACTTGTAAAGCAAATGTCCATAAAGTGTTAGCAATCACGAGTGTCTGATTCGACAAAAATATGAAAGTGATATTCAAGATTTTCAACAGCTCAACAAACAACAATTTCATTAAGGGTTAGGAAAATGTGTGTGTTTTTTTTTTTGTATTCCTACTGACACAATAAAGGTCCACACAATAAACTCTTTGTTAGAGTTGGGAGGAAATCATGGCTTGGGTTTAGAAAGCAACTTTTTGAAGGTTTTGTGAACCTTTGGTAAAAGAAAAAAAAAAAACCTCAGTCCTGGAAGGAAAGTGTCGCTATTTCAGGGTTTTGGTATCCCTACTTTTCAAAACATTACTTTAGAATTACTTCTAAAAAATACTTAAGAAAGGCAAACCAAGTGTATGAATAATGATCAGAATCAATTATGCAGCCTGTAAATCCTATTTTTCCCCTGACTGTATTTCCTGCAGGACACCATGTGTAGGGACTGTCTGTTTGCCACCTTCTGTACACCCTGCAGCTGGTGTCAGATGTCCAGAGAGATGAGGAGGAGAAACCTCCAAGTCGTCCTAGTCAGTGCCAAGAACACATGAGTTCTTTCCTGTCTCCTGACCACCACCAAGGCTGTAACATGTTCCATTAACACACAGCCTGCTGCGGCTTTTCTAACACATCTAAACATTATAAATACACTGTACACTGAAGCCTATGTGAAAGAGACGAGCCTACATTGAAAGAAAATAAACGTTGAATTTAATTTAATGTGTTTTGTCAACAGATTTTGCATCACTGCATCATGTTAGTTTGAAGCAATAATATTACGTTAACTTAAAGAACATTAGGTTCAACTGAATATTATTGCTTTCAACCAACCTAATACAGTCCTGTCAATGACTGAAAAGCAATATGTGTTCCTGAAAAACGAATTTAATAAAATTAGCTAAGATGATTGATAACTCCGACAGCATAATACGAGCTCTGGCAGCAGGGAATGTAGAAATAAGTTATTTTTGAAATGTATTACACCCCAATTGTTTTATAAGTTTTATTTTTTCTGCCTGAGACGAAAACGCTTACTTTTACTGAATTGTTTTTATCTGATCTTGGTTAAAGGGAATTGTCCGCTGACTTTAAGGCAACTGTTCTTGAAGAGCCTTTATGAATGACATTTTGTTGTACTTTGTTCAAGTTTTGTTTTTAAGCAAAATCCAAGCATGGGTTTATCATCATGAGAGTCGTTTTGTAAACTAGTATTGTTTTCACATACTAATATTATATCTGACAAAGTTACAATGTATTAAACAGACTTCAAGCAATTTAAATGATGTATTTCTATTATATTTGTATATAGAAAATCAGGTTACAGCCATTCATTTTAAATTACAGTAAGCAGGTTTTACTTTGTTTCATGTTGAGCAAGCATACTTTAATAATAGTTCAGCTATTATCAATAAAATCAAATGAATACCATTTTATGTTGTTGTCTGCATATGTATATGGCACATTGTTCACAGATGGAAAACACACAAAGAGCATATTGCAGAGAAAATGTACAGAAAGCACCTTTAATTAAATGTACTTGAAATACTGATGTGACACCTTACTTAGCGGCTAGAGGGAGCCACATTCTTCCCAATGAGTCAACACTTTTTATAGAGGGTTGAGGCCATGTGGGGTCACAGTGGATCAGAAGCATGGACCTGACAACCACCTGCACAGGAGAGGGAAAATAACAAAAAAACCTTACAACAAATGAAGCTTTCCTGTGCTCAATGTCAGTGTTTTAAATAACGGTTCTTTATTAGCACAGATAGTGAATGTCTTTCTGCCTTTGTAAGTTGCATAATGCTACTTTCAAACCTCACTCGAGAAAATTCTCTCAAACCCTCAGACCTCCTTTAAATCTGAGACATACTGCAAATTTCATTTCAGATCAAATGCAAATGTGTCTACAGGAAAGACATTCACCATAGTAGGTTAGTTACACATAGGTAGTTACATTTCCAGTAATAAATACATAATGTATTAATAGTTTTATTTACAGGAATATTTTGTTTTTTTCAATAATTGGTTTTAAATGACATAGTTCTTAACACTGCCAATTTAGTAAGTTATATTCTGTATTTGTCCCCCCAAGTATGTAACAAGAGGCATTTAGGACATGTCACAATTAAGATAAATAAATAAAATAAAACATAAAGGATATGTCTTTAAGAGGGAGGAGCAAAGACATCTTTTACATTGAGAAAATAATCGAGTCTTCAATAACAAATACTCTCAAGTTGCTGGTTATCATGCTGAAATCAAGAAAGTGTAAACAATATGTGTTTGGCAAATTGCTAGCCACTTTTTGCCTTTTGTTTTGTTTTTTGTAAAATAATTAAGGTAGTTTCGGCCACCAACCTTTATGGAAATTGGCTTCTAGTTTAAACAAGCAGTTATAGAGCCAGCTTTTTTGAAAGGAATGGTTGGAGACAAAACCAAAGCTAAAACAGAGCAAATATTGGACTTTATAAGTTGTGGCTGTATGTCTGCTTATTGTTGTGCTTTTATACCCTCTTGTGGCCATACAACAAACAAAGGCTGCTTTAAATAACAACACCTGTACTGTGTGGTCAGCTACATACTTGCCAATACCCATTATATTAAAAGAAGATGGAGAAGAACAGATGTATTATTTGTTGTTCAGTTCAAACAATACATTTACGGAGTCACTATCATGTGAAATGTTGTCAAATTATGCCCAATAAACGTTCCTATTAGTCCGGTTTGCACTCCAGCAAAGGCGATCCCTCCCCTCTGCTGGCACACTTGGCCCTGGTGTTCACTGTAAATTGCTCAGTGGGTTGTTTTTAAATGGGATTATAATGACAGTTATGGTTTGCAAGAATTGATGTTTGTGACTTTTACGAGGTGTGAGTGAAGGGGCGGGACCAGGCGGCTCATAAACGCTGCAGGAATGTTAATTGGTCGAGGCCACTGCTGCCCTCTTTGTTCTGCTCTCTCATACTGGGCTTCTGTTGCGCCCGTTACAGGCCAAAGAACTGATTTAAAATCTGTGACTTTAACCCCGCACACCCTCCAACACCCCCCCACGCACACATATGTACACAGCTTATCCCACCCCCTCGTTCATCCCCTCTCATTCTTTCTTCTGAGGTTTCCTCCTGAAAATGGACCCCTTAGATTCTCTCATTTCCTCCATGTTGCTTAATCAGGGTTGGGGGAGTAATTTTATCACAGCTTTTTTTTCCTTCTTGTGGTCACTTGGCCGGCTGCACTTTAAGCCAGAGGAATGTTCTAAGGTGAGGGAGGTTTCCGAAAGCCCAAATGGGATTAGTGTCATTTTTTATTATTTGGAAACATCGAATACATTTACTAAATTAAAAAAGTTATTATTTATTTATTGTTTAGGAATTCACTATGAATCTGAAACATTTGAGGGCCTATTAAGACTATTTTGTATTATCCTGGTTTCATCCTTAAATCTTCATGCCGATGATTTGATTTGACTTTGTTTTACCTTGTTTTTAATATTTAACTGTGTTCTGCTATTGTGATCTACATAATTTCTTTCTTTCTCCAACATGTACACATTCACATCTCAAAGATTTTGGAACAGTTTGATTTATGTGGTTCACAGGTTGTAATATTTGTATAGCACTTTCGTCCTTAGTTATACAAAATAAGGTTGTTATGATGTCTTCAACTAATTTCTGTTATTTTCCTAATTTAGGAAGTATATCAGATCTCTCCTTACAACAAAGGACGTTGGTTCAAATAAACTACAGTGTCCTTGCAGCAGAAAGCACCAACTTTTCTATATGTGTGGGAATAAAACATCCTCTTGGAAATCAGTTTAAATCTGCTCTTTAAAAAATTATCTTTGTATTATTCAAGTACAATTGTTAAAGCCGAAAAGGATAATCCTTAAAAACTACTTCAGTAGGGAATCCTTAAATGTTAATCAGAGGTCATGAGATGGATTTGAACCTGGAGATCACGGAATCTTCCCGAGTGTCATCCTGTCTGTCGGAGGATTCCACCATGACAGATGGAGACACCGTCTATCTGTCCATAATTTCCAGGGGAAGTGTTCCTTTCAAAAGACAAGGTTGGAGTTGCAGGGGAGTCGTCTGATAACGGCTCAGGTTAAGATGAGGCGGCAGGGGCAGGCGTAGTCCGACACGCGCTATCAGACGACGGGCCTTAGAGCAAACAAACAGCTCTGACCTCTCAAAACATTGGCAGCAGGGAGCAGCTGATAGTCAGAGACGGCTAGGTGGAGGTGGGTGATGTAGCAGTGTGAGTGTGTGTAGGGGAGGCAGGGGGCGGGGCAAAAGGGCATGCAGGGCAAGAATTATCTGATCCTTCCGTGATCTTAGTGTCTCAGTGTCTATTAAAATCTGAAGGGTGTGTCTGCATGTGTGTGAGGGGTAGTTATCTTTATGTTTGATGAGTTGCCATGTCTTAAAGAGCTGTTGATTTCCACTTCCCCTGACATCAAGATCTTTTGCATCTTCAAAAAAACATAAACACTAGCATTTTCCAATCCTGTTTGAATCCTGTTTGTCTGCATTGACCTTTTAAAAAAATGGAACATAACTTGCTGATAAGCACTATCCATACTTATCAGTTATTATAATTTATAATGTATTAAGCTCTAATGCAGGAATTGCTGTGATGATTATATAGAGCAGCAAGAAGCCTAAATGTGTTTTCCAATTCCTACAATACACTCTCGTACGAGAGGTAACTATTGCCATTTCACGACAACCATCTTACCATGACGTTAATTTTTTGTGATCATAAGCTCTGGTTTAGTGTAGATAGACTAAAACCTAATTGCATTTTTGGGGACATGGCCTGCCTTCTGTGTACATACATTCATTTGTCTGTGACACATTCAGACAAATGAGAAAAGAGAAGGTCAGGAGGTGTAGCAGCAGCAGGGTGAAGGGGAGGAAAGGGTCAACAAATTCTTTGATTACTGAACCTTGTCATTCAGATAGCAGAGGGCTTGAACACTTGGCGAACTCACCGGACAGCAGCGAGGCAGAATCAGAAGACTGAGGACTCTCCTGCAGAAACTGAATTAATTTCTACTGGGCAGCAAGATCTCTACAGTCTCATTAGAAGCTATCTCAATATAAGATAAATAAATAATGAGTAGATTAAGAACCAACTGCAAACTATTGAATGTTTATGTCATTCATTGAGCAAATATTCCAACAATTGTTAAGGTTCAAGATCTCAGATGTCTGGGTTTGCTGTTTATTTCTGTTTTTATATCATACAAAATAGAAAATCTTTGGTTTTTGAATGTCTTGACAAAACATTATCTCGGGTTCTGGGAAGCAGTAATATACATTTTGTTCTAATTGTATTTAGCATTTTATAGACCAAACAAATTGTGAATTGAGTAACATTGACCAAAAAAAAGACAGAACATTAATTAGTCAGCCCTAAATGCCAAAGTAAAAAAAAAAACCTAACCCTAACTCTAACCCACCATTTAGGTGGAGCAATAATGGTTGAGTTGTATTTATTCAACACTGCTCTTCCACTAGGGGGCATTACTGGGAGTTAAACCGATACCAGGCTCCTGAAGAGGATCTCCACTGTTGTTAGCCTTGATATACGGCTGCTGGAAACAACCCCTAAGTGCATCTCAAGGTTCATTGAAAGGGTGAATAGGATCTATAACTCTTGAGTGGATGTAGTTGTTCATCTGTTGTGTCGGACAGCGACTTTACAAACTTGTTTAGTTTCAGGAAGAAAAAAAAAGTGTGTTACTTTGTTTGGCTTAAAAGACTATAAACACAACAAATCTACTCACCCACTGTCACACTAACAATATTAATACTTTACTACGGTACTTATATTTTTGACAATGTGTTTAATTTGCGTCTGCAATTAGGAATATTTTTTAATTGGTTTAAAGCTTAAATTAAAATAGAAGACGATTTATATTTTCGACTAAGAGCATTGGAAATACTTTTTTTTTCTTTTTTTTCGTATCAATATCATCTAATACTGAAAGTGAACAGTATAAATTCCTTTTTTATACTTGACGACACAAGGTTCTCACTTGCAAATAAGGAAAGAAATTATCACATTTCTTCCTGGGTAAAAATGCACCAACATGTTCAGGTTTTATTTGATATTAACTATAATCTATTTTGGAGAGCAAAATAGGCATAAACGTATTTTACAGTGATTTATTAAGGGAGTACTTTAAACAAATAATAATAATTGTTTCATCTTACCATATAGATATTTTCCATCTCGAATGTCCTCCTCCGCCTCGGTCAGATGCCCCTATGTCTTTTCTGCTCTGTGTGTGACATAAACGTTGAGGAAAATTAACATAATGCAACACAAAAGTAGTCGGTCACACCAAATCCGAGCTTTTGAGCAAGAGATAAGAGATATTCCCAAGAGATGTACTCGATATGTGACATGCCACA